CATGGTTGTTTATAGCTAATTAAAAAAGCAATCGCTCAAGCAATGGCGTTCGCCTGGAAAAACCTGAACAGAGCAGGGACTGCTGCATTTCAGGGATGGGTGTCAGTCATGGAACAGGAGGATGCTTCTAATTATAGCTGGGCTTCAAGGTAGTCGTGAATAAGAAGTGACTTTTTCACACCGTGGCAAAATTCCCCTTTTATCCAAAATAAAGCGAGTAGAGCTGTACAGATGTTACCAGTAACACAACAAGTTTTACGATCTAAAGTTTCTTATGTACATAACCTCATGTTTTTCGGTGAATTCCATCACCATACCAGATTTGTAGGTAGATGATGTCAGAACCTGCCCGAGTGAAGGAATGAGACCAAGCAAGAGGGAACCAGAATCAAGTGCGAGGGTAAAATGAAAAAGATGGAGACTTAACGGGCGAGATCAAAATCATATAAAATGGAGACAGGTGCATGGCAAGAACAGAGTCGTTCTAGGGGAAGAAAATAGAATGAAAGAAAGGATGAAAGAGAAAAGAGAGGTGAGAGAAGATGTCTGGAATGACTAGTAAAAGAGCACAGGGAAAGACATCACCATGCCTTTTCTTCTTGCTTTTTTTGTGATATTCATTAGCTCACTCTAAAACTGTATGGTTTCAGAATGGGTTATAGGAGATCACTCAGACCACACATATGAAAAATCCGAAGCTCCACAAGGAGAAAAAATACAAAATTCATTGGTCGGTAGGTCCGAGTCTTTGTCAGGACAGACAAAACGAGTAGGAATCTATTGCTTTTAACTTCATTCTCGATACGAAACTTCCCATTCCCCCGGGTTATACTTGAGGAGCGCTCCCATATAAAGTAACCTGTAGGGCTCATCCGGGTTCAAAATCGTGTTTTTAAACAACTCGCGAAGTTCTGATTACGTTTTCGAGAAGTCGTCGCAATAGGGTGATAGGGCTGTGATTTCAACAGAGGGTCAGGCCGGGTGGTATAGGGTTTCGTTGAAATTTGGGTGTTCAAACACGCCCTATTCATAAAGAATTTTGGAATTTCTCCAATGAAAGCGAACCTTTCCACCAGCAAAACACGTTGAACACCCTGGAAATTTAGTATCACTACTAGTTCTGTACAGATGACCAAGCAGAAGGTGTAGTCGTTGTCATTGGAGCAGTTCTGGTCGCTATACTTCTTCCGCTTCTATCCTTCTCAGTACTAATTACTAGTAAGCTGGATAAGTAGGACTTGTTTTAGGTGCAGCTTACAAGGAGCGACTGAAAAGTATCGCCCTCGTCATTGGCGCATCTGGAGGATGGTTCCCCGATGAAGAAGAATAAGAGGATAAACATCTCATTTCAGGAATCAGGAAAATTATCATAACGACTAGTAAGCGTTAGTAAGCTTTTCGAGAATAGGGTGAGAATATATTTATTAACTGTATTTATAGCACTATGCAAAATATTGTATTATGAATGAATTTTAGTTTTGTTCCCTGTAGCGCTTTCAATCGCCTCAATCGATATACATAGTTTTCACTAGTAATCAAAGTTGTAATGATACATGTTCTAGAAGTTGTGAATAAATATCAGTTTCGAATTTTGTGTTGAAAACAATATTAATAGTACTGAAGAGTAAAACAATACAGGATAACTGAAGCATTCACAAATCAACTGTGTAGGTCAGCAGTAGTAATTACAGTAACAAAGAGAGGTATGGTGTTTGAAGAAGAACAAAAAGGAAAAGAGAGATTATTCAGTGCTCAGAAACACCAATTACCTCAGAGTTCGGGAAATGTAACTCAATTCGTTGAAATAATTCACAGTACTACGGTTCTTACTAGTTTCACACAAAAACTGTGATTACGGACGAAAAATGATAAAAGAAATAAAATTAAGTCGTTTGTTTATCCGTGATAATGGTCACTATATAAAAACAATATGAGTAGTAATGGCGAGAGTTGAATCAACAAGTTTCAAATGGAGTTAGTATCCTCTCATAAAAGTAAAGCGTTACGGACCATTTTCCTCCTGTTCCTATCCCAGTTACCGTCAAAATCAGTATTGAACTGGTCGGACATACGGAAAAGTCGAACTTATCCCGTCCCTGTGCAGACTGGTGAAGAGCTTTTGAGCAATTTTTAGTGAAATGATGGTACTAGCACTTATTTACCGACTTGTTGAGTGTGTCGTCAGTCATTGGGACGAATCCGACCCATCCATCATGTTAGGCGACGAACTATCTTTGATCATGCGCCTTTTGATGGTTTGACCCCTGACATTTATGATAAGAGAGAACAACAAGAAAGGAAAGGAGAAGTATCTTTTCAACTTTCACCATTTATTATATTGAAAAGGCTCTTATTGGAGTTCCAGACTAATCAGGTACTTACTGTTCTTCAGGTGCATCGAATAAACCCGTAAATTCACTGCATTGCAATGCCAATTCATAATTGCGAGCCATTTAATTATTCTATTAATAAGTAGGTTAATATTATTCCCACCTGAAGCCTACCCTTGCTACAGTACAAGTTATACTACTTTGTAGTACAAGCTTGTTCTGGTTGCTTTTGAAAAGTCGATTTTTTCGAAAGGCTACCAAATAATAGAAGTTCCAACATAACAAGCCTTTACAACGAAATAGTGAAAGACCTTATTCCAAAAAAGATCAAAACACAAAATTAATTTCAATAAAAAACCAAATATTTGCAAGTATTCATGATACTATTTTTATTTATTTTTACTACGTACAATGGCGCACTACAATTTATGTGAGAGCCTAAGTTGTGAGAAAAAAAGACAGGTAAAGAAGAGTCAAAGTAAAGTTAAAGAGGAACGAAGGGATCAGTTAGAGCAGTTCCAATCCAGTGACCACAATAAATTGTTGAGAGGGGAAAGCTCTAAAATAATGAAGTCAGGGAGCCCACTGGGGTGCACTGGGGTGAACCCATAAAGAAATGCTCGTGCATATGAATTTTCTTTTTATTTTTTTATTTTAGGGCGATTTCCTTATTCCTTGGCTTCAGTGCAATCATTTCTTTTAGTTTTTCGATCACAAATTTTTACATTTGTTTGGATTCATTCCCTTATTAATACCTTTATTATCTTTGAATTTCCGAAATTTTTCAAGTTTATCCTGAAGAACTAGCAATAAATATAAATATTACATATCAAATATGCATAAATTCCAATAGTAGCCTCATAAATACATAAAAAATAACATCGTTGGTGCAACGTTTGTTGTTCACTGTACTGGGTGAATCCATGAAGAAATGCTCGTGCGAACAATTTTTTATTTTTTTTATTTTGAGGCATTTTTGTATTTTGTATTCCGCGAAATGATAATTAGCTCTGAAATGAAAAAGTTTGTTTTTAGTTGTTTGTTTTACTGTTGTTGCTTGTTGTTTTTTTTATTAGATGATTTGTTTTTCTTAATTATAATGTCATCCATGATGAATCAGCTACGTGCATTTTCCGAAAACCCTTGAAACTGATAAGTTCTAGGTGAAACTCGCGTAAAAAGCAATCACTCAAAGTTCGCTAGTTATGAACGAACAGATCGTCAGCGGCTATTTCATCACTTCGGACCTGACTTACGTAGCTTTTTTTATGGTCATCGCAAAATCAAGAAAATGATATCAAGATTCTGCCAAGTCGAAAAAGGCTCTGACAACCATATGGGCAGCCATCTGATCTTGTTGGTCTTGAAAGGAACGTCAGATTAACCAATCTGACTAACGACCACATGTTGCTAGACGCTCATTTCCACCTTGATCTGGGTCCTTCCAACCATCGAAGGAACCATTTCGTAAGGTTGACCATTTGGCAGAACCTCGGAGAAGCTTATTCTCTCACCAAAGCTTGGCTGTCAACGTATGAAGTAGGTGACACCTCTGTTGTCATTTAGAAAGGGCGATCCTACTCCTCACCGTAATTCTTCCTTATGGGCCACAAATTCTTAAAGACTGATCCTCACCACAGTATCCTACTATGAGGTTCCTCTATCACAACCCGAGAAAGCGTAAGCCTCAGAGGCAGCTCAATATGTTAGGGGTTACGAGTATGTTCTCCAATGGCCAATTTCACGTGGTTTCAAACCAATGTAATCTGATTCCACTACCCAACCAGTTCGGTGAATGAACCCAGGGCATGGGAACCCACTGCACCCGTATTGCACCGAAATCTTCGCAGAACTTTGCCCGAGATCTGCTCATTTTCTAAGTTGGTATATCGGAAGGAGGTGGATAAGCCTTTGAAGGGTTACGGGTACAAGTAAACAGGTGTCAATTGGGAGTATGCCTAAGCAGGTGTTACTACAGACCATGGGGCCGTGACGTAGTCGCCGGCCGATCCTGTTCTTCGATAGCGCTCTATAAAGACGAAATGAAGAAGGCGGAACGAATCACACTTAGCGATTGTTGAGTATCCAGTGGCTAGGAAAGCATGCAGATCAGCACCACGTGTCTACTCATCCTCACAGTTATCAGCATACTCGTACAAGGTCAGATTACTCGTCCACATCTACCTTCATACTGTAAAATTCCGCAAAAATTCCGTCACATTGTTCAAAAGTACGCGCTTACCATTCTCGTGAAGCTTTTTTTTCTAGGCTTCTATGCTCTATTTGAACTGAGACGTTCTTATGTATCATATGTATCGAATGTTCCCTGTTTACAGAATTATTGCAAAGAAGTAAACAGTAAACACTGACCTGTGACCAGCTGTTATTATTCGACAGTGGCAACTATGTTTATGTTTATTTCTCTGTAATAATCTCGTAACAAGGGAGTAAGATTCGTAGGGCTTTGCTCAATCCCTTCCCATCGTTATAGTAAGTATTACCAGTTTTGTTCATCTCCCAGATAGACACGTGCAATATTTAGTAGGTGCCTACACCATAGCCCGGTAACAAATTAAAGGTCGTCATTGCCACTTATAGAGCCTCTCGTCATAATATTGACAAGTCAAGCAGTAAAAAATATCAGTTACTTTACAAATGTACTACTATTGTAAACAGTCGACTTTCAGTATGCTGGTCGATCACCGCTTCTGATGTCTATAAACGATTACTTGAACGAGAAAGGAATGTTGAGGACACCTTCGCGTTCAATTTCGTTCGACCTATTGGATCGGTAGCCGGCGAATTGGTGGGTGGTGTCTCAATTTTTTTTCTTTCGCCCGATGATTTTAAAAGACTTTTCGACCATCATAAAACTTGCACTCAAGAATAAATCTCCGTGACATACGCCCGTCATTGCGTACGGCCGAAAAACACCCATAACGTGACGTCACCGTGATGCGTTCGCACGATCATTGACACTCCGTGTTTGCGCAGACGCGCACGTACGCCCTTTGATCCCTTAATGACACTGTCGTGCAACGTTCTCTTGAGTGCAGTGGGCGGGGCTTGTGGAGAAGGAGTGGCTTTTGCAACCACCTCGTGCTACTTGCATCGCTCGAAAAGCAAATGCGATTATTATCAGCCCACCCCTTACAGTATATTTGATGGTTAGCTCACTGAGCTCCTCGGTACGTCACGATTGGTCAAAGGGCTTCTAAATGTTCCAATAAAATTCAACAAAATTTAGCAGCATGGCGCATCCTATGAGGAAACCTACTACCTTTTTCCACTAAAATTATCATTTCTATTTCAAGATATGGCCACGAAGCTACGATTCATCGAACGAGTTGACATTCGACGAAAACGGAGCCGCTTTCCCGCTACATGAACGTCCAACACTCTCCAAAATCCTACGGCGCTCTCGAGTTTCCTCATTGAATGGCAATAATGCCTACAAGGACAGTTACAATTACTATAATCCCTTCAACTACAGCTAATACTGCTTAGTGAATACTAGCGTGTAAAGTATTGATTTGTAGGGATTTCCTTTCTGTATGTTCTCATTTTACGGGTTTTCTACTGATCTTTTACTTGTGTTGTTTGTTGTTTGTATATACGGTACTGTACGTACTGACTTTCCAGAAATGAATAAGAATTATGATGGACTGGGCTGATCATACACGAAAGCTGAGTGATGAGGTCAACCAAACTGGTGACTGAAATGTAACTCATTTGTTGGCAAACCACTTTAGTTATGGTTTCGAGGATCAGAAGGATTATTTATAAATTTACCCTAGTCCTACTAGTTTAGTTCTACTAGAATGTAGTTGAAAAACTAGTGAAACGTTATGCAGTAGCTCGTTTTACGGAGTAATGAATGAGTGGTGTGCAATTGCGGGAACAGATATGATCATAGGGATCTTACTTCTACCGAGCTCCCACTTGAATTACCCAAGGCCTTGTAGAAACTACCCATTCCCAGTCATGCTCAAAAAACGACTTTTTGTGAATCTGCCGATTTTAAACGGCTCATAAGCCTATCCCGGAGAGAATAGTCCTGAGGACTCCTAAAGAACATGTTCATGGAGAGTGGTCTAACCGCGTTTATTGCGAGTAGACAAGGGTGGTGATGGTAAGGTAATAGTAATACATGCCAGTGAATAGAAAACGCTCTCTGCGTAACTTGCGCAATCTATACTGAGCCATGCATTCAACTTCCATTTTTATGGGTCGCACCATTTACATATAAGCACAATTAGGTGATTTGACTTACCTAATGAATTACGGAGTTGGAGAACTGGACTGCGATGAGCCTCTTTCGATCCTCCGACCATACTGTTGGTACCTGGTCAACTGACTCCGCATCTTCTCCACCTAAAAATAGAACGGTTAAAATTTCTAGTCAAATAGGCTTTATTTTTATGGAGCCACTTGGTATTACCAGAAAAGCCTCGTAGAGTATGATAAAATCTCGCGATAAGTGGTGATATTTAGTGCTAGAGGGGAAACGGTGATTTTTGATGATTTCAGTTTTGATGAGAAATTACTGTATTCTCATTATCGTCCGAGGCCGGTATCATCCATGGTAACCCTGACTGAATACGCATATGACAGAGCTGAGAGGGACCTCTCCACTTGGGAGTAGCTATCGCTATTACGAGCAATACTCTACATCCTCCAATTCAAATTCTATTTCCCATTTACTAAATCCAATAGGTTTTTTTAAATAACAAAGCTATCTATTCCTACTGTACTCAGAGATGGGCTCCCTTTCTAACTCTCCATCTGTGTCTGGTATTACCAAGGGCTATACATTGAACGGTAGCTAATCAGCCGCAGTAATACTCATTCCAGAGCAAGATGCATAGCTGTAAAGTGAATCAGAAAAAGGCCGAAGTTTAGTTAGACTGCTGATTCCGACCAGCTCCCGTACGATATGCCCCAGTCTACTGAGCCTATCATTCCCCGCAATAGATCCTTTGAAAAAAAAAGGAAAAGATGGGTCATTTGTTTATTTCTGACTAGCTGATAGTTCAGTCTTGAAAATGCAATCAAATCTAGCGAAGCTTACACTAAGAAGGATAAAACTGGTAAGATTATCTTGACTGTTTTCACACCTCCTATTGAATGCGACTCTCTCCCTTAGTAGAGCTGACTTTTCTACAACCTATTGAATTATAGGGTCCGTCACGTGATTTCAAGTACTAATCTTGCATTTTTTTCCAAAAAAAAACTAAGGAGCATCCAAAGAAGCATTCTTATCGAAAAAAAGCATAAAGCTACATGAATCATTCTTGATGTTATTGAATTAGTGAATTAATCAATATAATCTATTTCTATGAAGTTGTTTTTTTACTTATTCAACGTTCAAATTTCTGCCCAGTATGAGGTTATAGTGAGTAAGTAGTAATTGTTCCTGATTTGGAAGCGTCTCACTTGAAAGCCTTCATTTGAACCTCCTGAGACCAGAGCCCAACAATTTGACCCCATCCTAATGTAAGCACGCTCGTGTTCCTCATTTATCGCTCAGTAGGTAACTTTCCCAGCTAGTACGTACTTTCACGTGAAACCCAATGCCATGGAAAATCGCCATGATTACGTCGTTTGGACAAATACACATTCTAAAGTGCATATAAGTACCTGGTTCAAAGCTACTACTTTAGGCCAATGACTATATTATGCTAATAGTAGGTGGCACGACTAGGGACAACGATAGGTGAATTGGGTTAATTCAGTGTTATGCCTTTTCGGCTATGAGTCTCAGGGAAACTATGAGTCTGAGGGAGAATTCAGACAAACTCATTTTTACATCATCCCAGATTGGAGAGCACACGGGGAACGATGCCACATCTATTAATGGGATTGCACAAATCCATTCAATCAGTGCTGTAAAGATGAGACAAGCAAAAGCATGTCGCAACCCAAAGGGCAATCATCTTCAAACTTTTGAATTTTTTTTATCTTGTCAGAAGGATTTACCATTCTACCAGAATACGCCGGTCATTCGACTTCTATCCGAATCGTAGAGGTATTTTGTTAGATCAGAGGCCTACATGACCTTTCTTTCAGTAGGCGCTTTTGATATCAAAAGTTTTACTGTAAAAATTGCTAAATTAAAGTCACTCAAAACTAATCTGACAAATAAAATCACAGTTATAACTGTTATTATTTTTATAATTATTACTATTTGCTTCAGATGAAAAGTTACTGTGTAGTGGACTAGCGAATCGTCCAGTTCTAATACTTCAGTCAATGCAGCGGAGAAATTTAGTTTCGACATAACCACTGGAATTAATGGAAACAGCCCAAAGTCCTGGAAACTCCGGAATGAACCAACCGCAGGGTCCATTTTTGTGAGTGTAAATACTTGGGAAGTGAAGCAATCGGTCACTTCTATGGTCGCTGCCTGCCCATCTCAAAGCCAGCGCTCAAGGAATCTCGCCGGTACCCGAATTGAGGTTCGCTTGGTAGGTTAAGCTGGCAGAGAGGACCTTATGAGCAAGTTCTACACTATGAACGATAAAATAAGGTGCTCGCTTCTAAGTCTGCCGTCATTTTTGCCGTTTCATGCTGAAATTTTGGTCTGTGAGAGCAAAGGTACATCTATTTACCCTCATCATCATCATCATCATCATAACCAGCCGTATTATTAGGGGATATTTTGATTGCGACCGGAAGTGTAACGGCTGTTGGCCGACTGCCAACTGCATGCCTCGAAAACCCTTAAGCCAGCCAGCCAGTCAGCCAACCAGCCAGCCAGCCCTCCACCCACCTCACCTTAGGTGGCTGTTTATTGAGCTCAGCTTAGCAGCCACCCTACCTTCCACCGGCCGCCAGCCATCACAATTGGCCACATCGTCCGTGCACCGGGGAGAGCGCAATTTTCGCCTTCAACGGATCGACGCAAAAGTAGGAAAGTTGTTTGGGTCAGTACCCCACTCGATATTAAGTGGCTGCATTCAGGCTTGTTACAATTAACGGCATAATGCGATGAGATGCCGACTCAGGGCAGCCCAGCGCTGGTCCTTCCCTAGCCCTCTTCGACTAAACCGACAACGTTCTTTCCCCCTCTCACCTCTTCATCCGCCTTTCTACCTTTTTTGAACACTCTCTTTCCGGCAGTTTCAACTTTTTTACTCTTTACTTTTTTCGGCAGTTCGTTCATTGAACCTCATTACTTGTATACATACAGTGGATCATCTTTAGTTCGTTACTATCACTTCTCATGCTTATAGAAGAAATCGCCTACTTTTCCTTATTTTTCAATTTTTTTCTCTAGAAATTTGGTTTTCAGTATCATCGCTATTATATGATCGTCTCGTTCAGTTCAGATACTTCTAGCGTAATCCAATTGAATTTTGATGGCACAAAAACCAGTGAGGCCCTCAGGAGGTCTACCGCTTACAATTGGGAAGGATGGGAGGACTAGAAAAACTTTGGCTGTCCTTTTTTGCGTATTCATGGGACTGGTACGACTACCACTCGGTGTAACCTGTTAATTACCATCGAATTCTGTCACTAACAGACATTGACTAAACTTTTTGTAGGATACTCAAATGCCCATTATGAAGGATGCTACAGAGTACAACCTAACAATGTTCTGCCCTGACCGTACAACTATTTGACTAGTTATAAGAACTCCGATTACTGTAATAACTAGTTTTACAACTACCCTGGAGTAGTAACTACTGCCTTGCTTTGATGGAGCTAATAAATGACCTAGACCCAGTCACCCTGGAGTTTCACCTGATAATGGAATCGTGGGACAAACCAGCTCAGGAAGCTACTGGTTAAACCCTTTTTACAATTAGGTTACTTTTTGAGTAACACCTGCACCCTTCGATGAGGTCCTCTGGGGGAAGACTCGGGGTACCGAAGTTCTTGTTTCATATTACCCTGAGAAGAAATTCAGGTACAAGATCGGATCCGATCACTGAGATCATCGGCTCTAATGGCGAAGCCGGAGAAATAAATTACGAAAGCTATACCATTGACCATAATACTTCCTTTAGCGGGGTAGTTTCGCTTTTTTGAACAGGAAACATTCGTCTTTATTAGAGCCTTGAATTGACATATTACCTGACTCATGGTACCTGCTGGTTGACAACTTGTAAGTAATGCACCCCTCCAAAAACCTCTCCTGCTGCTATCTGAAGCTATACAGATGGGATAGCCCGAATGGAGGGCAGGGTTGGCTGCTCTGACAGATTTTTTCTTGAAAAGAACCTAAGAAAGTAGGTGTTGTTGAAGTAGCAGCGTGTCCAGCTCACTTTTCAGCACCTTAGCCCTCCATAGACTCCTTTGGTTATAGAGTGAGGTCAACCAGAGCTGAAGGAGCGGTCGAATGTGTAGAAGCTGAAGTATCTTCTAACAAGATAGAGCTTCAGCAGCGGAGATTTTGAAATATTTTTAATTGGGTGTCTGCAACCCCAGTCCCCCGAACATGGCATTTTCCACTTCTTTCTTGATGGCGTGGGAACCTGTGCTATCAGCCGGCCGGTTGATCGAGACTATGCTCTTAATTCCGTTCTTGAAAAGTCGAAAATTAGCGATTTCCGTCATGAGACTAAGATTTGGGCCGAAGGCAGAGATTATGTTGTCGGTGATGAAGCTCATGACAACGCTGGAAATATTCCTATAAGACAATCCCCATCTCCCAATACGAATCACCCCGGATGGTTATGCTCACAAGTGTAGTCTAGCAATCTGAAATCCCATATTTTCTTCACGCTTGAGAGGCATAAGCATATTTTAGGGAAAAAAGTTGTAAGTGAGGGTGTCAATCGTCGAACAGAATCGCCTTACTATCCATTTGAGTTACATCCAAGATTGACTCAATTTTTGCAGTTGCTCTCAAAAGGTTTTACATATCAATAAATTGACATCACCCTTTTATTTATTTATTCATTTCTTTATTGAAGACGCTGCATAAGGCAAACGCGGGAGACAAATGCTATACATAACTAACAACATCCATCATTCTTTCATCCAGAAAGGAATGAACCGATTAGAAGGGAAACTACGGGAGATTTCGAATTATTCCTCCACAAGGGGGACCATGGGCACATTCAGATGAAATTACCCCCGTTGCTTATCTGTTCATTTTAAGGGATATCAGTAACGCCCACAGAAAACGATATGTTCTGGATTAGGAGCTGTGAACAGAAGTATTCAAAAAATCAAAAAATCTTCGGGAAAGAATTCAACTGCTTCGGGAGGCGCCATGCATTGGATTTCCTACAGTACCGTACAGTTTACTTGCACCTGTTTACTTTCTTGGACATTGTGCCCATGTGCCTTAGGACAATCTATTTTTATTTCGGAAAGTTCCCAGTTTCTGCGTTTACTTGACAGTGTGTACAAAATAGCACTTCCCTACACCCCTAAATAGGACTTGGCCTTGCATTTGGTCCCAGATTATTAGACCGCTTGGCTGAGACCCCGTCAAGGAAGAACAATTAGCTCAGGGCCCGATTTATCAATTGAGATGCGACTTGTTTTCTTAGCTGCTACTCGACACTTTCATTGAAATCTCAATTTTTGAATTATTTTTAATTAATACAAGTTCCTCAACAGGGTAGTAACGACAAACTGATTGCAAGTGGGACCTTCCTCTCTGTTATTTGCCTTGACAAGTCATTTGGAACTTTTTTCTAGAACATCCAGGAATTATTTTTTTTCAGCCACTAGTAGTACAACTAGTAACTTACTCACGCTACTACTATGGCTCTTTTACGTCATCATTGTTCGCGACATTCACCTTTGATCCCTGTTCCAATGTTTCCTCAACTATAGTGGGCACCCAACGCTTACTAGGCTTCACTGAGCATTTCAAAGAAACTCTCACCGCCTCGACGGCAATTTTCTGCCTACTAGCGTTGACCAATAAGGTGCCCATACACGGGGCCCATTGTGTACCCCGGGCAATTCATTTTTGTTTCGAAAAACTTTTTCAGTTCCTTTTTTGTGTTCAATCGCCATCTACGGAATCGATTTCATCCTTTGGTGTTATTGATCTGACAGTTTTACGAGTCAATCGATACTTCAAAGTCATTTGCTCTCTTTTTGACTCAACTCCATTCCTTCGTTGGTCGTTTCCGCATTTCCGTATTACCCTGGAATTTCCTCCTTTTTGTTCTCCGACCTCCTCTAGGAGAGCATCATGACATCGGTATCAAGATGAATTTGGTTTTTTACACTGCCTTCACCCCATCCTTGAAGAGTTCACCTCAAAGGGTGGTCCTTAAACTCAACGGGTGGTCCACGTGCCGAGTCTGAGGGTCGGGTAAAAGAAGGTGAAGTTCCAAAATGAGACGTAAAGTGGACTTTCGGCGCGGTGGTAGCAATAGCAGGCTTAAGTGCAATCACGGAGAAAATTGTAGGAAACGCCCGACCAAACGTTCGCCGCTCTCTCTCGGCTGTGTCGACGACGGCCCATTACAATGCACACCACCACATCGAACGAGAGTGAGCGGTGAGCGAGAGCAAATCGAGCTCGATGAGCATTCAGGCCTCCATGATGGAGTTATGAGAATAATTGTTGCAAATTAGATTCCCAAAGTTTAGGGCCCGACAGAGTGCATTCTGAAAAAGTCGGAAAAAGTGGGAAACGAGCCTGTTCATAAGCTACGTCCGGTGAATGCGCAAATGTGGAGCAACGGGTTGCACTTCCTTGTTACTACCCCAGGCCTGTTCAGTAGGTTGGTCGGTGGTGGGCCCATCAAGCTTTTTCTGGGATCATTATTTGGGAGGTGGATCTTCTTCTTCTCCTAGCCTCAACCCAGCTCAGTCGAAGGTTCGCTGTTCCTCGCGGCATCTACTGCCATATAATTCGGATTCGAAAAAGTCTTTCTTGACAACATCCTCCTTCTCTTCTGCGTAGCCTCACTTCGAGGCCTTCCTCTACCATCGAACTCCAATGCTCCCCTATCGGATGGTCCTGTGACCTGCTCAGCACATTACCATAGTTCGCTGAAAACTTCAGCTTAGTAGGAGCTGCTTTCGTGGCCGTCCTGACTCCGTTTCTGAACCGCCCCAGCAGCTTCCAATCCCCCATCTCGTTTTCCTCATTTCTGGGAATGAATTTGCCTCTTTTACTGTTTGTCTACTAGTCAATACTTGGCGGCATAGACCATCGTTCCCTTCAAGAGCTTTGGAACACTGTCATCACGGATTAATTTTCGAACGGCCTAATCTAAAACACTATTTTCGGAAATGCAGATTTCAAAGGAACAACAGAAAAACCGGGAAACGGCTAGGGAATACACGTCGCATTGTAGTGGATCATCCCCAGTTCCTGTAAGTCTCTATCGAGAGAAGGAGAACATGAGACGGTTATTTCCAGGTTCCCAAGTCTAGAATGGTAAGGCAGTGACTCTAACATAGGCTATATCCCTGCTAGAATTCCTTTATTCAAATGGTCATTCTGAATTCACACTGGGTTTCAGTGTAAGTATTCAGAATGCGTGGCTTCCTGAAAAAGCTTATTTAAACCTAAGTCCGATGTTTCCGTTGATTGCCGTTTTTCTGCCCAGTTTCCGATAGGGACAGATTTACAGCTTTGCCTGGTTATAGTGTTATAATGTATTTTTATATGGCTTCCCCATAATAAAGAATTGCACCTGATCCCAAGTGCAAGAAGTCCTCGTCGTAGTTTTCTAAAGCGCATTCTCCTGAACAATGAAACACTTGGAAGCTCATAAGTAAGGAATCATCCTTATCATTCACTACTGTCGGCTGTAACAACTGAAAACAGAGGAGTCTACGTCACTTACACTACTTAGTTTGGTCTAATGTAGCCTGTAGGTCTCCCATATACGATCATAGGGACAGCTATATACTGTTCAACAAAAATTTTTCATAGCTTCCCATATGTTGAATTCTCGATGCGATCACGTTAAAATCCGCTTGATTATCGAGTAATCCAACTAGTAAATTGCCAAAGATTACCGGTATTCTCCAGCCCAAGGCTCTGGAAAGCAGCCTTCGCATGTAGCTGTAGTTGTAGCACAAAGTTGAGCTTGGAATGCTCCCTCCCTCCGTCACTTTGGCAGTTTCTAACTCATTTCAACGAAATTTTTCACGAACACCTATCATTGCTGTTCGATCACTCTTCATTTAGGTAGGTTAACCAGTAAAAGAGAGGCTGCAGAAGTCATGTAGTCAGATTGATCTCATGGACAAGTGGGAGAGAGGGAAAGGCAAATTATCCCCAGACCTGCGATTATACTTCGATATAATGAGATCGCTCCCAAAAAACTTGACAGGATATGTCAGCAAAGTGCTGAGTTACCCATTATTTACTGGTGTCGAGATAGCAACGTAGGACGCTCTCTGGAGCGATCTATCCAGTTGTTGTCCCTACAAGTAAGTTTCAGTATCGACTTGGCCCTTCAGCCCTCCCACGCACCCTTGACAATGGCCTCAGTTATCAGTCAAGAATAATAGCTTGGCAGTGCATAGGGTAATTATTCCCGAAGCCCGCAATAGTGCCTTTCAATTATTTAATGGTCACTTTGGGAAAAGAAAAAAATCAGGGAAAGGCGAACTGGTATCACAAAGTATTTTGAGTAAGGAATCTTCGCTTGGGAATGACGTATTTCTAGATTAACCCTATTTTCCTTTACATACCCTCTTAGAATTCATTTGCATCAGCCGTCAATTCTTTTCTTCCGCCAAGAATGAAAAAGGTGATAGTAAGTAATTTCATCAGATTCAATAATTCCAGTCAGCATGCAGCGCATTTTAATTGCAATAAAAATTTACGAAATTTGGCAGTTTCTCTTTCCTAGCCTGAATTCGAAGCTAACTACTGCGGGAATGTAACTAACTACTGCCCATAACTAACCATTTTACTTATGTATGCCATAGAAAACTGAGTCAATTATCAATATTGGAAACTGATTGATTTTATTTTATTCACTGTTTTATTTATAACTTTTATTTTTATTTTCATCATTTTTAGTTAAATTCTGAGTCTCATTAATTGAATTCTTGTCAATCACGACCTCTTCTTCTACATAATTTTTTCAACGTTCGTAATGTCCCCGTTGAATGTAATGGAAAATTTCTTTATCACGTGCTTTTACGTTGCATGCTTTTTTAACAAGTTTGTCTCGAAGGAATTATGGCCCCGCCTCGGGAAATAGATCCCACCTCCACCCAAGACTAATCGAATTTTGGGTGGCTGTTTCCTTGAATGGAATAATTTTTTTGCGTCCACAAGTAACCACTCGATATCAGTATCAGTACTAGTATTTTCGGCAAGGAATGATAGGCTTTAAAACGTTTCGAGCACCCGATTCAGTACGTGTACGCATTCGCGTGTATGTACATAACGACTATGTACATAACGGCTTCTGTGTATGGAATCACATAAAATTACAAAACTGGACTTACAAAAGCTTTTCAGAGTCTCACATGCACTTCTGATGTTGTGGCGTGGATTTGGCTCATGGCTCCATGCTGATTGTCTTGCTAGCTCTGCGCCTAGCATACGCCCAGTACACTAGCTACAATGGTAGGCTGCTGACAGAATGTTACAATAATTATTAATTAAAAAGTTCAATAGAAAAACAGTAATAGTTCTAGATACCAGTTATTAATACTTGATTTGGCCATCCTCGGGCAAAAATTCCATGTCATTCAATAGAGACCCACCAGCATCCAGACGACAGCTAGGTTCTTCACAGTTTTGAAGGGATTTCTACGATTCAGCCGTTCACCCCGCAATGGACTATCACATGAAATGACCCATAACCCCGTGAATGCTGATGTGGTGCTGAACTTTATCCCCGGAAAAGGAATCCTTTCTGTTTCCCTCACTAACCTGAAGAAACGGGAGGAACCTGCCAACAATTTTTGTCAATTCCATTAATTTCGCCGGATTTTTTTATTTGGTTAAAGCTATAAACAAGATCCCAAAAGTGACCTCAATCTTTGTTAAATTTAGCGGAAGTATGACTTTCGTGAATTTTACTAACACAGTTTGTCGCTTTCCTACAGCATTCACTTATGTCCAAGGGTACTGTACAGAATGGGCGGAGACAGCCATATGACTGCGGTCTGCTTATTGGTGGACCCATCCTATAAAAGTGATAGCCGTCTCGAAAGAAACTCAAGTCCGAGACAACTGTCAACTGCTACTTAAAATATCTTTATCCCTAACCGCATGGAAATGATAGTGCCTTTGCCGGTACGACTTCTACATTTTGCGGCACACCCCCTGCTTCTAGTGGTAGTAAGGTATACATAGGAAGTCAAGGCTGGCCAGGCTAATGATACTTTCATAAACATCTTGGAAACTGGATTGATTTACTCACTTTTTTTGCTAACGGCACATTTCCTGAACACCACTATACAACTGTGTCGGGTATGATTTTCTGGCTCACTACCCTATGACGAAGTGCGCTCTGGAGTTTTCCGCCTGATAGAGCTTTTCGCCCTTTTTTCCCTGGGCGGCTTTTTGGCTTTCGGAAGAGGACGGCGACCGACTTCCTAAAGAAAGAGTCAGTTAAAAGAATTATTTCCAGTATTCGTAGCAAAAATGGCATGCCATACTTTGAAACCATCCAGATTCGAGTCAAATTCCATCATCAAAAAAAACATAATTGGACAGGAAAGGATATCAGATTTACACAAATATTGAAGGCGGCAAGGAAAAAGCTTCTCTCTGGAGAAGGATATTTCGATTCTAGTCTGGCAGCAAATGTATCTGGTGAAGATGTATTAATGAGTAAGGGTTGGTCCTACTAAGAAAATGATGTTTGATGTTTTTGCAACTTTTCAACAAACAAAAGGGATCGAAAAAAATTCAAAAAGGCGGCTGGTATTTCAGATTGAAACAGGACGGCTAGGCTGTCCTTGAGAATGGATGGAAATCGATGGCAGTGATTCCGAAAGATCATGGTTTTTGACCTGACAACCTTTATATGTATGAGAAAATCCTCTTAAGTTGTAAGAATTTGATGTAACCGGTAATCCTCTACCCGGAACTCGATCTTTTAATGAATCGGGCTTAACTACTGAATCAGAATAAAACGAGTAATCTTCTACTGCTTGAGTTTGTTTCAAATCGAAAACAGTAAAGTTTGGGGCAGCTATGAGCGGAATAGAAGCTTGTTTTAAATAACCTTTATAACCTTTTCTTGTACTAGATTTTTTAAAGTTTTTTTTTTGCTGTTTTAGGGGTTAGTGTAGAGGCAAGAGGTGCGCTATGACACACGTATGATCCGGGATCGGAATCCGGATCAATACTTGCCCGGGCCAAGCAATCCTCATCTCTTCGTTGTTGATTGACTGCCATTAGACTTATCTGGGAGGATAAGAGTACTGACTTGTACGACGCAGGCTGATCGCATGTATAGGCCACATAAGCATCCAAGACGCCATTATGATTCTGGTGGAACGTAGAGTGCGTGGATATCCCAGAAGGATTGACTAATACCTGAGGTTTCACCTGAAGCCCTTTTAAGGAGTGAAGTCTTCCTAAATTTACTTCATTGGAAGTCTACAGTTTCAGGAAGAGAGTTACCCATTAACCTGATGGATTTCTCTCCAAGACGCCTTCTTTGTCGGAAAATCTACTTAACTGTGACTTGAACACAACTTCCATTTTCAGCGGTGGCCGGTCGACTACCGGGTCGATGCCTGCCAGGCGACTTCGACTGTGGATTCGGCCGCTGCATACCGATTACATCATTCCACGATGGTAAACCGGACTGCTACGATGGCAGCGACGAATGTACGAACATCTAGTTAGACAACACCTCATCAATTACTTAACTTCGCAGTAATTCATCATTTCAGGGTGCTTTTTCGGTCAAGTCAAATGCGGCGCGTATTGTGTTGATGTATCACAGGCGTTCAGCTGTTTGTTCTCATCCAGATGTGACGACTCAAACCGTCAACCATCATGGTGTTCCGTGTCGAGTAAGTACCGTATGTATCAATTTTTGGGCAAATTCAAGGTTTACAAAGCCTCGAATACCAACTCTTACACGTAGAAGGCGACACTTCAAAGTAACCGTATCAAAGCCATATTTAGGCTCAGCTATGAGGGGCCTTCCGCTCATTTGGATTGGGAAACTGAGTTTTTCAGTAAACAATAAACCACAGAAGTCACAAGAGTGAACACTTTTCCAGAAGAAAAGCTATGCGGAGATCCCAGTGCATTTCCATGTCGTGGATATGGCGAATGCGTACTATGGCCATGGTTGCTCGACGGTGAAAAGCACTGCATCGATGGCAGCGACGAAGGTATTTTTCACTAAATTCTGTAAAAAATAATCCATGTTCTCGACGGTGAAAAGCACTGCATCGATGGCAGCGACGAAGGTATTTTTCACTAAATTCTGTAAAAAATAATCCATGTTCTAAGAAGAATGGAAAAAGTAATTGGAATCCAGTGAATAACTCGTCCAAATTCTATTGAACGAGGCTTAAAGTTTGCGCCTTTTTGACATGACTCTGCCGCCCTGCATGCACCCACTGAGAAACAAACTTTTCACTTGATCGTTTGAAGGTGAGAAGGGAAAGAGTTTCACTCGATAGGTTACCAGTACTAAACAGTAAATCAGACAT